GCTCAGCCATCCCAGTGAGTGCTCAGTCGCCCGTTTCTGCTCCACTCCCTCCACCATGCTCTGCGTGGTGCTCAGAACCGGAAGGATGGAATCACCTCTCCTGGGACTGGAATAACATTGCAGTGGATTCCAAATCCCTCCCCGTGGTGAGCACAGAGTAAATAACTCCTGGGAGGCTGCCAGCACAGCTACATCGAGGTTAATGAATAAACAACCGCCTGCAGCACTGACTTCCCCGCTCTTAAAATATATATCTTTGGTTCCATCTTCGAGAGAACTCCTCTCCTATAAATAACCATTCCAAGAGATAAAGGCATTAAATCTTTTTTTTTTTTCTTTGACAGAACAGAGATTATCAACATTTATACAGAAAAACTGCTGTTAGGCAAACAGGCTCTTCATAGAGCTTTTTATAGAAAATGTCGACTTTATCGTGGAAAACAGAACACTGGAAAACCAGAAGATGCAAATATAGAAAGGGACATTCTGGAAATGTTTTCCTTGTTTTCCTCATTTCTTCCTGATGGGAGATGCTCTCAAAGCATTGTTTTCCAGGAAAACAATGAAGGAAGCTCGGAAAAGGGGAGATTGCTGTGAATTAGAATCCTGAGGTCACTGCTGAAAACAGGATTCAACTGCTCGGTTATGGATGCATTTTTTGAAATATTACCCTAGATGTATAACGAGTTTAATCTAATTAATCTAATTATTGAAAATAATTTAATTAATAATATTTAATTGAGTTAATAATCAGTTTAACCAACACAATAACTTAGATCTCCAAGAGTGCCTTGGGTGATTTGGAATGTCCAACATGAAGGACAACAAAGGGAAGTCACTTTACAGTGCACTTTGTGGGAGTCTCTACCATTCCAGGGGGCTCAGAGCACCTTGGAGTCATTTGTCACTTGTGAGAATCTAGGTCATTTACTCCCCTCCTCCTGCTCTGCTTTTTTTAATGCCAAATATAGAACGAATTTTCTGGCTTCAGACTGAATCAAGTTGTTAATTACACTCTTTCCTAAAAACCTGCAATTGAAATTCACTTGGGGAGTCTCTGAAAGCTGGAGAAAGCTATTCTTTCTTATAATATTCTTTTGACATGTCTTAGAGGAAAAGGGAAGAAAGCCCATTTGCTGTTAATTTCTCAGTTTTGAGGATGATATTTAACAGAACTAAATCCCTTTAAGGGCTCAGTTATGCTCTTTGAAGCCAGTGGGAAAAAATGCCATTGAGTTTCCTTGCAGGAGAACCAGCTTGCTGCCTTGAAAAGTGATGTTAAACGATCTGCAGGATGCTATGTGATGCAAGGAAAATTCATTTGTGCCAATAGGTGAAAAAGATGGGAACCCGGCATGTACCAGGAGTGGTATAAAAATAACCAGATTATTTCAGGGTCTACCTCATCAATGAGCTCACGGTCAAAGGATGTGGAACAATTCCATGCTCAGTTCCTGGTGCTAAAAAAGCCTCTGTGTGTTGGTGTAGCACACCTGCCTCCCAGGAACGTTGAGAGGTGGAACAGATGGATTAACATGCTTTGGAGATGAAAAGTGCTGCTTGAGTATTATCAAATTTATTATTAATGATGGAGCCATTAAAACAATGGGATGGATAATGACAGTTAATTCTTGTATCAGTGCTTTTGTCTTCAGAACACTCCAGGGCAAACTCTGGTGTCACCGAGTCACAAAGCTGCTCTTGGTTTCAACTCTGAGCAGATCTGGCTCTGCCCAAGCCTTAAATAACTTTTTTTAACATACAAATCCTGTTCCCAAGTTCCTCCAGACTCAGAGGGTCCTATCTCCACCTGTCCCTGTAGGTGGCCAGAAGCACTGGGTGCTTATTGCTCTAAACCCAAGGGAAGAGCAGCTTCCAGACTGGGCATCATTGAGGGAAGAACTCATTTATTTATTTATGGTAGGGCCTCCAAAAAGTAAGGATACAGACTTCCCCAGCCCTCACTCTACTGATGGAGAGGGATGGGCACCTCTGCAAGGCAATATCTGTCTTAGAGGGAGGACAAATGCCTTCTGAGCACGAGGGGAACCAGAGCTGGCTTTACTCCACCTCATTTTTGTGTGCCTACAGGTGAGTGGGAGGATTCCAACCTTAAGTCACTTCTCCCTTAGGATGCAAAGGGTTGAGAACTCCAAGAGATGCACATTTCTTTAAGCTCTAAGGTGACAGCAATGCAGGGAGAGCAACAGCAGCCCCCCAGCAATGAGGTGACTCCTGCAGTCTCTCCTCTGCAAAGAGTCCAGATGGACTCCAAGTTTCAGCTCAAATCCAGGAAGGAAAGTCTAAGCAGGAATTTGGACAAGGACACATGCAGCTGGTAGAGCACAGACTAAATAATTCAAGATGCAAAGGACTCTGCAGAATATGGGGACATCCAGAGGCAACTGGTTCTTGCCCAAAGCGAAGGGAAGGCTGATCCTCACAAGTGGCCTGGACAAGAGGTGGGACAAGAGGCTCAGATGTGGTGACAGGAGGAATAAGAGCAGCTCCTCCAGGTAATATTTTCTCTGACTTTAGCAGCTCAACACTTGGACTAAGTTTTCCCTCAATTCCTGTGCCTTTGACATCCATACAAACCAAGGCACCGTTAATGAGCCATTGCATATAGATGAGCTGGCAGCCAGTCTGAGCTGCCACACCACACATAAAAGCCAAAGAGGGCCCTGGGCTCTCCTGCTCTGACACAGAAGCTGCTGGACCCACGTTCTGTGGAAGTTCTGTGGTCTGGGGGACACAAAGCTGGGCAGATTTTCTCCCCCCTCCCTTCTGTGCTCACCTTCACCACGTCAGACCCCAGGTAAGAGGTTCATGGCCACAGTGCTTGCTTGGGAGCTGCAAAAATCCCCAACATGTCCTTGCTCAGAATCGTCGTGTCAGGACTGTAGAAGGGAATCAGAAAATCCTTTTCTGGTGGAATGGGATGTTTGGATTCTAGTCTGCCTTGCCACTGGCTCACCTTTCCTTGGGCAACCCTCTTGCCGGTTCTCTCCCTCAGTGTCTGCTCCCACAAACCAGGCTACTGAGGAAAACATTGCCAAAGGGAATCTCTGCATCTGCTGGGGTCATCCAAGAAAATGAAGGCAGAACATTCAGGTGTTACTCTTCTCTGGGAATGCTGAATGGATTTGTGGCAGTGACATGGAGCTGGAAGGGCCTTAAAATAACAGCTTTGTGAAAAACTGGGGTGGGATAAGCTGGTACAAGCTCCCAGCATATTAGAGTTGTGTGGGAACTGTTGTTTTAACCCTGTATTAGCAGCAGCCATGAGGTCTTCACCTCACAGTAACTTAAGAGCTAAGCATGTGTAACTGGGCAGTTAACGAAGAGCAGCTACTGATTTTCACAGCTAGACCTGAAATAGGGGGTTTCAGTCCCCCAGCACCAAAAAGTCTCCATATTCAGCTGCACAGAGATGCAAAGAGGTTGTCAAAACTCCTGTTTAAACAAGTAACCACCCCAAAATTATCTCCCATTTTGGGCATGACAACATGTAGTACATGGTTCACTTCCTTAATCTCACAGTCAGTTACTTTTCTCAAACCAAATAAACATCAGCAGGGAAAGGGAAAAATCTGCATATGTGTTAGTAATAAATTTAAAAATCAGGGCATACCACTTAAGGGTTGAGTTGTCAGAAAATGGTAATTAAAAGTGTTCCAGCTGACAGTGCTGCTTTAATGAATTATTAGTAATGTTCTCTGAGAACATTGGATGAAAGACACCATAAGAGTTCTTACTTAAACAAACCAATTTTCTGCATGATGCAACTTGGCCGCACAAGAGGAGGAAAATCTCCATTATAGAATCAAATTACAGAAATAACCAAGTAATGGTTTGAACGATCAGGAAGGAACAAGTGCCCATTCTGTACTGATTACCTCTATTTCCTATACCACAGCCTTTCCCCATAGGTGCTGAGCTAATAACTGCCATTATTTTCTTACATTCTGTTTTGGATAATGTCTGATCACTCCAGAGGCTGCTGGATCCCAAGCCAGCCTTGCCTGGTTGAGCACAGGGGGGCTGGACAAGGCAGCTCAGGGCACTTGGGTGAGGAGGTGGATGCTGGGGATGGATGCAGAGGGCATGGACCTCCAGGGATGGGCTCTTTGGTTGTTTAAATTTCACCATCATCAAGTGGCTCTTTGTGCCCCTTACTGTTCTGATGCAGTTCCTGTTCCAGACAAACCCAAGCTTGGTGAGCAGGGAACAGCTGGGGAAAGTGTGGAGGGGCTTGGAAACACAGCCCTGCTTAGGGGGAGCAATGTGTGGAGCAGGGAAGGATGAGGGCAAAGGGCACTAAGCCTTAATCATGGATTTGTGTTTGGGTGTGAGGAGCCAGGGGCTGGGAGCTGGTGGGGAGCTGGTGGAGAGAGGCTCTCATGCCTCATTTCCTTTCCCTGGGCTTCTTGCTGCTTTCCAGCTCCATCCAGATTTGTTATTTGTCCTTGACTGTTTCAGGAGCAATGTAAGAGGGTGCAGCTCTGGGAATCCACCTTTCTTGGCAGAAGTTCTGTGGACACCCTCTAGAGCTGGTAAGCAGGGATGGCCTTGGGGAGCTGGGTGGGTCCTGGAAGGGGGTGGTCGTGGCGAAGGCACTTTCCAACCTTGGAGTTCAGAGCCCCCTACCCCTGGAGGCTGTTCTTGTGTTCCAGCTGTTACCAGCAGCTCACCTCAACTCTGAGGTCTCTGGACTAGCAGGAATTAGGGGAGTTTGCCTCAGAAATGCAGCTTTACCTTCCAGGCTGCCACAGACCCGTTGTCTGTTCCGTGGGCAGCACAATCCCCAAAAAGCTGCGCTAGCCCTACATCCCCTGCCCCTGGAGCAGGGCTGCAGCTCAGCCTGCCCTCAGCAGAAAAGGAGCTTTAGAGCTCAGATCCAGAGGGCTTTATTACCCCCCAAAGGTGTTCACAAGCCCTCTCTCCAGAGCAGGGAGCTGGGACCACGCCGGGGCCGAGGGGCTGATGAGTTCACACACTGCGTGCTGAGACCTCACAGAGGTAAGATGGGTTTGTGCCTTTCTTGCTTTCACCAGGCAGGGTTTGGACATGTGAGCATTCCATGAGAAATGCAAAGGAATTTCAGCTGGCTCCTGCTTTAATAAACCCTCTGTGCTCTGGGGAGAAATGTGCCCAGAGGAACCACCCGCCAGGTCACCAACAGCAAGGGATGGCTGGAAGCCCTAAGAATGTCCATCCCAAAGAGGAAAACAAGTGGTTACACCATGGCAGGTGCACCCTGGGAAACAGCCACAGAGTGCTGGGGGGCACCTTGTGTGGGAATGTTTACTGATATCGAGAGAAGTTCCTCTCACTTCCTTTTTCCATTTCAACGTGGAGGTTGTGTCCAATCTCGTGCTCACACAATCTGGTGATGGCCCAGCGAGATGAGATCCTCCTTCAGTCCTCAAATATAAACTGTAGCTCTACTGCCTGTCTTAAATGAGCTGCCTGGGCTTTTCTAACATTTTGAAGGGTAAAGAGAGGTAAATCCTTCCCAGGGTTTCCACCACTTCAGTGGGACTCTGGAAACCCCCAGTGACATCCCGAGGTTTGCTGCATAATTGAATTCTGCTTGAAGTACAGGAACTGAGACAAGGGTCTTAAAGGCTCGTTAATGTCTGAGATAAGAGCTTCACTTTGGGAAGTAATTTAGTCTCAGGTTCCAATTAGGCACTTAACAGAGGCAGAAACTTAAAATAGGAGTCTTGGTACCTTGTGTAGCTGATGATCCAGGGAAGGTTGAAGCAATTCACCTTGAGATACCAGTTCTGACAAGTGAGAGGGACTTTGAGGCACCTGAGCCACCAAAGTGGGCACTTCATTAAGTTCCCTCAGGTTGTTTGAATGAATTGACACCACAGCAAATTCCAACAAGATTTAAGCTCCTAAATGAATGGGAAAGATGGAAGATGCCTGAGCAGGGTAAACTGTATTTCCCCCTGGAACTGAGGCACAAGGAGAGGTGTAAAGGATAGCTAAGAATTCAACATTTTCTGTCTGGTTTTGTCTGGAGCAGAAGGACCTCCTGCAGGAAATACATTAGATGCTGAACAATAAGAGGCAGAAAGAGCCACTGGGCACTTGGTGATGGTGTAATTTAAACACAAAGCCTTGCACAGTGTGGGAACTCATAAATCTAAACTTAAAACTTTCCTTTGCAAAAGGACCTGCAAATCAGCTTAATATTTGTCCACCTCCAAACCTCTCTGTTCCGCTCCTTGCTGAGAATATTAAGATATTATTCATGCAGAAGCTTTTTTCCCTTCCTGGATAATAAACAAGTTTCTACCAGGACAGAAACTGGGCATCTAAGATTCTCCTAAGCTCTGTGCCCCATTGCAGTTCTGACCCCAGGAAGCTGATGCTGCTGCCACAGCACCACATTCAAGAGGTCTCAAAACTTTGCAATCATTGCATTTTTCCTGCAATACTCTCGTTTCTCTTCCATCTTGTGAGTAGGTGGGGAAACAGGCACAAAGGGGAGAATATTTGTCCTATAGTACACAAAAAAGCAGGAAAAGTTTGGACTCTGGGAATGCTTTATCACGTGACTGTATTTTCTAGATCCTGCAGCCAAAAGCCATTTTATTAGGACAGATCAGTTTGGTTTGGGTTGAGACACAGGATGCTCCCTCAGTTCACTCCTTGCTGTGAAACAGCAAGGAACAGAATGAGCTGAATACTGGTCTCTGACCCTGCTAATAAGTTGATTTAATTGGATTTGATTTTTCAAATCATCTCAAGTCAGCCATAAACTCTGGAATTAGCATAGCCTGTCTCAGCACAGGAGAGATTTTCAAGGAGCAGAAGGAGATGAGGTCCATGGCCAATGAATTTCAAATTACACTGAGGATGAACTCAGCCATATGCATGTCAAACTAAAACTGTGCAGGCTCTGAGAGCACCAAGCAGCAAAGTTATTAATGGCTCCCAATTGCTATTAGGAATGCAAAGGAGCTGCTTTGCACCCAGTTTGTTCAGATGTCTCTTCACATCAATGACCCATGTGACGGGTCAATAATTCACTCAGTGCACACTGAAAGCCAAGAATGTCTTGCAAGTCAATTATACTTAAATAAATAATTAGGAGAAGAGAAGGAACTGAAGGATTGGACTAGAAAAAGCTCTGCTGGTGAAATACTGCATATCCCAGGAAAAGCAGAGTATTCCTGGTTTCAGATCTTCAGCTTGTGTTCCCCAGTGCCTTCAAAGGGTTCTTGCCCCTGAAAGCAGAAAATAGCCTTAAAAGGGGCAATTTTGAGTTTCAGTATTTTGGGAAATAATCAGGCTCCTGTGTAACTAAAAGCTATTTGCTTCCTGCAGGAGATGTGGAGGAAAGTAGGACATTAGGCAAATAGCTGCCCACTGAGATTTGATCCTCAAAATTTGTTCCTGAAATTTGTTCAGCTTTCATGGCATTACATTGTAATAAATCCCAGGAACATTTTACCCAATCTCTGGGCACAAGCGGGCTGTGATTCAGAGGGACAAAATTCGCTTCATCAGGCCTTGTAGGAAAGAGCAGCAAATGCCTTTAGCAGCTCTGACTGCGGCTGACAACCTCTGAAATCAGCCTTTTTCACAGCCCACGTCCTGGGAGCTCTCAAAGCCGTGGCAGGGGTTGCAGGATGAGCTGTTCTCCCTGCACACTCCTCTGGAGTGAGGGCTCTTATCCCACTGCAGGGTGCAGCAGTCAAGGAGAGCTGGGGAAGGGAACTGTGCGGGTGAGACTGTGATGGGATGAGATGTGTCTGGAGAGGCTGTAGAAAATCATATAAATCAGGCTCCAGGAACCAGGGGCAGGACAAAACCTGTCAATCACAGGCTGCAGCATTTGGGCTGGAAAGAAATCTTCCAAACTATTGGTGTCTGAGAGTCTCATTGTTGAGCCTGGACTGATGACATGCACGGCATCAGCCAGCAAGGGACAGTCTGGGGAGCTGCTCCTGCCTGACAGATGTGCAGGGAGCAGAGAGAGGGGCAGGGAAAATCAGCAGGCAGCAGCTGATGTGCTCCAGTGTCAGCTCAGCACATCAGATGGGCAGAGGCAGACAGGAATTCATGGAGCAGAGAGCCTGTGTTCTCCAAAAGGGTGCAAGGGAACATGCATCTGTTCAGGAATGCAACAAATCCTTTCCCTTTTGAACAATTCCGTGGGGTCACCATAGGTTTCTTTGCTTTGGGGATGTTCAGGGAGAATTAAGAGGTTCCATCCATTCCCTGTGGTACCACCAAAGCCCACCCGGCTTTGATCACAGCCAAAGGGGGTTCTTTGTGCTTCTGAGGTAAAAAGCAACTTCAAAAACTTAAGTCCAAAATGCCTACTGATGGAGAGCAACTCTGGAACAATATTCCTTCCAACACATCTGCTGGAAAACTTCTGAATGGGAGGCAGGGCACATTCAGAGGAACTTAACACGTGTTAATATCCCTGTCCAAGAGAAACTACGACCCTCAGTACAGAAATTCAAGAAACAAAGACAGCTCAAGTGGAAAACAAGGCCAAATCCAAGCAGCAGCAGAGCCAGGAACAGGCAGAAAAATAGCAAAAGAACTAATAGTAGAAAAGACTTCCATAAACTATATATCTGTGAGATTTACTATGAGAATACTGTTATTAAAGGAAGGGGGATGAGACGTGCTCAGTAATGAGCAGCAGCACAGAATTTAGGCTTCAGTGCAGCCTTTAATCCCTGGCAACTGAGACAGGCAGAGATGGAAAACTACTTTACACACAGGTTCAGTGACAGAAATGATCCAAGGGAAGGGCTACACACACACACTTTCATCTTGAGAGAAAGCCTTCCTCACTTTGTTCTTTGTTTACATGAAGGAAGTGACAAAGTATGAAAGAGCTGCCTTTCTATATGGAAAAAAAAAAGCAATAATTTCTATTAATAGCACAGCACTGCTCCTGAAAGATCTCAAAATACTTCAAGTGACAGCTGTGTTCAGGGATCAGCAGTTACTACTGATGCATCAAGCTGCTTTGACAGGGCAGGGCAGCCCAGAAGTTGTAATAAAATAACTCTCTACATCGTGAAACCCCCATTCTCAACCTTAAAATAGTCTCTCAGTTGCATGTGAAGTAGTGAAATTATTCTTCTTTCCTTCGCAGACAGGAACATGAGTTAGAAAGCAATGGAAACAGTCTGAGACCACAGAGTCAGGGCCACAGGTCAACAACTGCCTCTTTCCAGATGAATCTTTCCGTCTTCTCTTCACCCATTTCAGGGGAGGCTGCAGAGAGCAGCTCCCACCTGGCAGCTCATCTGGTTTCTCTCCAAGCCTTTCCTCTCCCAATCCTACTGCTCAGGGCTTGGCATTCCCAATGGAAAGCTGGCAGAGCAGGGGTTGAGTCTGGCTTATCAAGACCAACGTGCTAGTCCCTATCTGGGCTGCTCTGGTTGAATTACTGGCACCAAACCAGCACAGCACAGTGGGAGTTTTGCCAGCTTAGAAATCAAAGTCACCTTGATAACCACCAAAGCCTGGGCTGCTGTGAAGTCAGAGCCTGACTAAAGGTGAGGACAGTTCTCTTCACATTCCAGGAAAATATTCCTGACTGGGGTTTTCCCTGGTGCAATAAGCAGGTGAAAGATTGCAGCAGAGCAATGATCCCCCAGTGTGAAATTCATCCCAGGTGTTCGTACAGGCATCTTTCTGGAGCACGTCCAGTCTGGATCCTGAAAACAAAAGGAACACTGCCTGCTGCAGGGTCACCCAGGTTGGGGATTTATTTGCCTTTCCCTCATCTTCCTCAGGTTCCTGCACATTATTCCTGGATTATTATTCCTGGATTATCCCAGACCTGACAAAGAGTCCATCAAATCCTTCTCTGGGGCTGAGTGTGCAGTGTATGACCACAGCAGGGCCAGCAAGGCCCTTGAAGTTCATTCTGAGTATTCCTTTACCATGTCTCTGCTCTGGAGCTGGAATTGGCTGTTCTCTGAAATACTGGGAGAAGACTTTATATCACAGCAAATTTGCTTTCTTGC